GGAAACTCGAGGGTATTCATTCTATCACCCTATCGATAAGAAGGTATTCATTGCTCGCAATGGTGTCTTCCTCGAGAAGGAATTTCTCTCCAACGCAACTAGTGGGAGAAAGATAGAGCTCGAAGAAATTCGAGACGACGAAGAAACTACCGCGCCGGTTTAGGAACATGAGCTAGAGGAATAAACCGTTGTACCTCAAAATGCTCAAGATACACAAGAACCTCGTAGGTCTAACCGGTTACGCACACAACCTGAAAGGTATGGATTCCTCCTAACCTTTGAGGGTAACGTAATGCTTATCGACCAGGATGAGCTGGAGACCTACCTCGAGGCAATCAGTTGTTGCGAGGCTGAGGAATGGCGTCAAGCCATGCAGTCCGAAATGGATTCCATGTACACCAACCAAGTATGGACATTGGTTGATGCACCCGAAGGGATCAAACCCATTGGGTGTAAATGGGTCTTCAAAAAGAAGACTGACAAGGATGGTAAGGTGCAAACCTTCAAGGCACGATTGGTAGCAAAAGGATATTGTCAAATACATGGTATCGACTATGACGAAACTTTTTCTCCAGTTGTCATGATTGAATCCATTCGGATCTTACTTGCTATCGCAGCATACCACGATTATGAAATCTGGCAGATGGGCGTCAAAACGGCTTTCCTTAATGGAAACCTCCTTGAGGATGTCTTTATGACACAACCTGAAGGGTTTTGTCACAACCTGAAGGCATGAGTCTTTCCAAGACTCAGGGTGCTTCCACTCTAGAGGAAGTAGAACGCATGAGAAATGTTCCTTATGCATCGGCCATTGGATTCATCATGTATGCGATGGTATGTACGAGACCTGATGTCGCCTTTGCTCTGAGTGTCACGAGTAGATACTAGTCCAACCCTGGCGAAAGCCATTAGACGGTTGTGAAGAACATCCTTAAGTACTTTTGTAGGACTAAGGATGCCTTCCTGGTATATGGCGGAAAAGAAGAGCTCAGTATTGTCGGATGTACTGATGCCAGCTTCCAGATTGATAGAGACGACTTCAAGTTACAGGCAGGGTATCTGTTTTGTCTGAATGGCGGAGCTGTTACCTGGAAGAGTTACAAGCAAGATACTACCGCTGATTCCACTACAGAAGCAGAGTACATGGCTGCAGCTGAGGCAGCCAAGGAAGGTGTGTGGCTCAAGAATTTTATTACTGAGCTTGGAGTGGTTCCTAGCATCAAGAACCCTATACCTTTGTTTTGCGACAACAATGGGGCAATTGCACAAGCGAAAGAACCTCGGTCTCACCAGAAGACCAAACATATCGTTAGACGTTATCACATAATACGAGAAATCGTTGCACGTGGGGACGTTGAGAACCGTCCGTTTCAAAACCAATGCCGATAACCGAATGCCGAACGCCGGTTTCTGAAAACCGAACGCTGGATGGCTTGGTTTTTGGTTTGGGCGAACACCAAGTGTTTTAGGCTTGTTTAAAACTTATGAAAAACATTTTTGAATATGCAAAAGAGTATTTTAATGGAGCGAGCCTAGAGAGCCAAGTTTTGAAGTTTGTGCCGGTCTTGATCACATAAAGACCGACTCAAATAAATTCTAAGTCTTCGTTCTTGGTTCTTGGTTCTCGGTTCTCAAGTCATCATGCCCTGTTCCTTCACCTTTGATTTGCTCAGTGTAATCCTGTTGTCACGGTGCTTTGACATTATCAAAACCTGTCATAAAACAAACACGGTTTAGTACGACATAGGCGTAAACCCGTGTTCCAACAGTTTTTTCCTCTTCTTTGTTGGCAAGGGATTGTTAATTTTTTTGATCATTGGATGAATCAAGATTTATCAAAGCAATAATTCTTTCCTTTTGACGGTAAGAGGGTTTTCATGTATATGCTGCCATTGGTTGTTTCCATGAAGAGTTAAGGACTGGCCATGGATTGCTTGTTTTATGAATATGGCGAAATCATGGATACTTAGCTGTAGACTTGGTTTGCTTGTTACATAATCTGGATTGGGGGTGCCTATAGTCACTATTGCCTTCTTTGGATGCCTATAGGATGGCATTCCTTGTAACACCCCAACCCGCATAACCCGAATACAAGGATCAGCGGATCGGGTTGCTACCAAATTGGTATTCAAACACAATAATTTTCCAAACCAATTTAAAACCTTTAATTCAAAATCGTATTTAGTTATCCATCAGAGTAAATCAAAACGGTTGCGGAAGCTAAAGTTTGTTGTATTTAGGTGCCCTAGCTGCAATCAAATACCTATGTAACTGTACACTTTATCATGAATGAAAGGCTTTGAAGTATGTTTTATATCTTGTGTAACATAATATAGCTTCAGTCCATAGACGATAGCGCTTCCGTAACATAGATGAGGACTACAATGTTCTGATTATGAGACTGCTACTTCTTGACGAAGGCTATGTCTAGAATATCCCTAGTCGCACTTTATGATAATACGGACGTCATAACGTATCAAGACTAGTGCGTACGAGATGAGATAGTTGCGTCTCATAGACTATAGGTATTGTGATATCTTAATATGTACGTAGATGCATATTATATTGATAATATGTGACTGGATTGACAAATCTTGAGAATACTGCATGGATCTACAGTAATGTGTTTATTAGTGTTCTCAATTCGACCTTGCTATAACTATCCTCAGACTTGAAGTTATTACATTCTCTGATATGTGGGGCCGTATGCTTTGATTCATAACTAATACTATCTGAAATACTGGTAGACGTACAGTTATGTGTTGGGTATGCCTCCAAGCATAGTTAGAGATGTGAATAATAGATACAGGATCTGTCCCTTCTACTGTATAGAAGTATAATGTCAATGGGCCCACTGAATAGTAGGACTTGGGAAAGTGCATGGCCATGCCCCGATATGTCTCTATCCAGAGACTGATAAATATCTGATCCCTACCAGTCTACTTGAGATTCAGTAACAGCTGATTTAACAATACAAGGATACACATCCCATGCCTTGTGTTAAATCATGACATTTAGGACAAAAGGATAATAGTTATAGAACGTCTTGTGTCGTAGAAGGTATTGATGAGATGAACGCCTTTTTCATAAAGGGTCACACACTTAGGACTTGTAAGGGAGTAGTATACTACACTAGTGGGAGTAATATTAAATACTACATATGTATTTTAAAATTATATTTTGTTTGTGTCATTTTAATTATATGATAATTATATTTTGACAAAACAAATTCTATTTTATATATAGTGAAGAATCAACATGGCACTCCTTACAGGAATGCCCTTTCTGCAGAGAAATCTGGAATTATTTTGAGGAACTCTTTGGAATTCACAGAAGTGTCAACCATGGCATAAGAAGTTTCCTCTTAAATTGGTGGAATCAACTGAAAAAAATCACAAAGGACTACAACTTAAAAGTTGCACTACCAGGATTTATAACGCACACTATTTGGAAAGAGAGGAACTTTCGCATCTACAATGAGGAAGAACATACAACAGCCGAGATACAACACCAAATCATCAAACAAATTTACGAGTATAGCGCAATTAAAGGGAAAGGAACCAGTATCACTAGCCATCTACCAGTCACAAAGATGGGAGCAATACAGACCTTCAGATGGATTTTCCCAAAGCAAGGACTCTGCGTCACCACTGATGTTGCAATTTCCCATGATCGGATGGCAGCAGCAGCGATCATCCGGCAGAGAAACGGAAATTTCATTGGAGCATGGACAAAAATTTCGCAGGGTGAAACAGACCCAGAAGAAGGTGAGGTAAAGGCAGCAGCGCTAGGAGTCAAACGCAGCAAATTTCTTGGTCAACCTATTAATCTCTACATGGACTCAAAGAATGCGGTGAGAAAAATTTAAGAATCATCCAACTCCTCCCACAAAGAAATCATGGAAACAATACAGAAATCAGGGGGGAAAATAAGTCACATTTATCAGGAAGCAAACACTGCGGCACACAACCACGCAAAGTTTACACTTAATAACGATTTCAGCACTTATTATTCTGAATTGGAGCATCTACCCAAAAATGTCAGGGGGGCTCTAATCATTGATGTATCTTCGGTTTTCTTCCATATTAAATAACGATAAATTTTTCATTATATATATATATATATATATATAGTGCCAAAAATATATATATATAAATTTTTATTTTCAAGATTTTAATTATGTGATAATTATTGATGTCAAAATAAAATGTAATTTGCTTTTAAATTGGGATGGCCGAAAATATCAAAGGGAAAAATACAAGACATAAATTGATTTTCTACCTAATGATATATTTGATTGATATAATCAAATATTTGATTAACAAAAGGATATTTGTCTTGTTGTGTTGGTTGGGGACATTACATTAATCCTAATTTGTTTTGTCCCTAAGCTATTTCCTAGAAATTCATTTAAGTTGTTTATTATAAAATGAAAATACAATCCCTCCCCTTTGAGCTTANGCCGAAAATATCAAAGGGAAAAATACAAGACATAAATTGATTTTCTACCTAATGATATATTTGATTGATATAATCAAATATTTGATTAACAAAAGGATATTTGTCTTGTTGTGTTGGTTGGGGACATTACATTAATCCTAATTTGTTTTGTCCCTAAGCTATTTCCTAGAAATTCATTTAAGTTGTTTATTATAAAATGAAAATACAATCCCTCCCCTTTGAGCTTAATACATTCGGCCATTACACATAAGTGAGAAGAAAAATCTTATTTTGTGTTTAAAGTTATTTTTCTAAAGTGTTAGAAATATACACAAAATATTATAAAGAAATATTTATAAGATAAATATTTTACTATATATTTATTACTCCCAAAGTAGTATTATTATAGTTTTTACTATCCTATATTAAACTTGCTAGCACAAGTTTAATCTCGGACTCCGGAGCAAGTTCGTGTGGATACGTTGGAGGCTTCATACGTTTGGCGCTACGTTCATCTCCTCAAAACCATCCCCGACCGTTTCTCCGTTCTCCTTTTTTTCACCGCTAAGGTAAATTTCTTACTATAGCTAGTAATTTACGTAAGATGTTCTTGGGTGGAATCGAGTTTTGGACTCTAAATTTTGTTTTCCGCTGCGTTATCCAAGCCTCGTTCCCAACAAAGTCATAATCCAAAACACAACTTGGGAATCATGCCCGAAATAGTAATAAGTTATTTAAGTAATTAATAAGAGTTCAAAGTCGTCGAACATCGCCACGCACATCTCACGCTCCTCATCGCCCTCCGGGATTGGTTCTAATCTCATCATTTCCTGGATTACCTACGTGTAGCAAATAGGAAAAAAAGGGCTACATGCTCAGCATTGAAGCTAAGTGAGAAACATCTAACATACAGCTATACCCATAGATTATCCCACTAGCCCATATCCTCATACGATATCATGCACACAACATGCTCACTTATTCATCATATCATAAAGTATATAACATATATACGCAGGCGTGCCATCATACAATATTAAAGAGTACAGGATATAATAAAGAATGCTTTCCTCATTGTTTACTTTACTTTACTTTCCCTCTGGCTCGGCTCTTAACCTATACTAGGTAAAAGCTTACTGTATACGACTTGCCTATAGAAGTCATGACCTTCCCCTTCGGAACGAAGGTCAAGCTCAAACCAACTCGGGAGTTCCTCGTTGGGTGGGTTAGATCCCTGTCCCCTTCGGAACGACAGTTCTTAGATCACCGTGTACACGTTTTTACCCGGATAGCCTTTGGTCCCAGCAAGTACCACATGACTCTAAATTACTAACTTATGACATGTCTTGTCACTATATCCATTCAGTCAGATCCATTCAGTCAGATCCTTTAATCGTCATTAGTTTATAGCATACATGTTCATGCATCATACACATATTTCATCACATTCAATACACTCAATTAGCGGCCTAACGCTGGGTATTGCTACCCATGTTTACCGTCATGCAACACACAAAGTCTCGGAATCAATCCTCGACGCAAACAACAAAATGCGGACCGGTTCAGGTACCTCACAGTACCCCTTGGCGGTAGGGGTTACCGGCCCCACGGCACCAGGGTACCATCCCCACGGTACAAGGGTACCGACCGAGTCAGCTGGGGTTCCTTTCGGTAGCCCGTCACGGTAGCCCCTACCGGTCCGACGGTAGGGACCACCATCCATACAGTACCTGGGTCCCGTCCTAAGTAGGTACCGCCAGAGAGGAATGGAACCAGGGAGGCTGGCGGAAGCCAGGTACCGTGTCAACGGTACCCCCTACCGTCTGTCGCGGCGAACACCAGACTTGCACCAGCTCCGTTTTCGTCCATCAAACATCTTTAGTTCCAGTAAATACAAGTATCACAGATCATAAACCATCGATCAAACGTTATCTAACCGTTCCTCAATTACAATATCCCAAAACAGGCTTTTCACATCATAACTATGCAAACAAGACATAATTCACGTATAGTCCACATAGATCAACCGTAACGATTCTATGAACGTAAGATTCAAACCTACGGATACAACCATACGTTAGATGACCACGAACTAAACTCGAATTCGACGAGTAAGGATTACCGAGATAGTGTTAACGGCGTGGAGAGGAATGGTGACTCCTTCTTCTTCCTTCTTTTTCTTCTTCTTCTTCTTTCTTCCTTCCTCTTTCCCCTGCTCTGTTCGTCCTTCTGCTCTGTTCTATTCGGCGAGAGTGAGACACGAGAGAGAGACGTGAGAGAGTGGGGAGGAAGTTACATAAATATGGTGAGGCGTAGGGCTTGGGGCGTGTAGGGAGTGTATTTATACTTTTGGGGTTTTGGGCTCCGTATTAATCAAACGTACCTGGCCCAAACACACTTTCCAGGCCCACTAACTCCAAATCCAAGTCCGGTTTCACCGTTAGATTCGATCCGCCGAACCCTACACAACGGTATAATCTTTGTTGTCAAACGAAGAGTATATTAAACTTTCATTGAGTCCGTCTCAATAATCAATTAATTATTTCTAATTAATTAATTCTGATAGGCCGGGTTTCGGGGCGTTACATTTCTCTCCCCCTTAAAAGAATTTCGTCCTCGAAATTTACCTGAGTCATTGGTCACTGAAGAGTTGCGGATACTGAGCTCTCATGGACTCCTCGGTCTCTCAGGTTGCTTCTTCCACCGCGTGGTTTCGCCAAAGCACCTTGACCAAGGGAACTGTCTTGTTCCTCAGTTCCTTGACTTCACGTGCCAAGATCTGTACGGGTTCTTCCTCATAGGTAAGACTCTCATCGAGGGCGACTGCTCCCTCAGGTAGGACATGTGACGGAGCAGACCGATATCTTCTCAACATAGACACGTGGAATACATCATGAATTTTCTGTAGCTCTGGAGGTAACTCCAACCGATAAGCCACCGGTCCTACGTGTTCAATGACCCGATAGGGTCCAATGAACCTAGGACTCAGCTTTCCTTTCTTGCCAAATCTCAACACCTTCGTCCATGGAGAAACCTTGAGAAACACCCAATCATCCACATTGTACTCAATTTCCCTACGCTTGAGGTCGGCGTAGGATTTCTAGCGATCCGAAGCCACTCGCAACCTATCTCGTATTATGCGGACCTTCTCTTTCGCCTCACGAACCAGGTCAGGTCCCTCCAACTTAGTTTCACTCAGCTCGGTCCAACAAACTAGAGTTCTACAACGCCGGCCATACGGGGCCTCGTACGGGGCCATCTGTATGCTAGCTTGATAACTGTTGTTGTAGGCGAACTCCATCAACAGCATGTATTGTTCCCAACTATCACCAAAATCGATGACACAAGCTCTCATCATGTCCTCCAATATCTGAATCGTCCTCTCAGACTGGCCATCTATTAGAGGGTGGAATGCTGTGCTGAAATTGAGTTTAGTGCCAAGAGCCTTTTGAAGACTCTTCCAGAAATGTGATGTGAATCGCGGGTCACAATCCGAGATGATTGATACAGGCACTCCATGCAGTCTCACAATTTCTCGAACATAAAGCTCCGCTAACCTTTGCAAGGAAAAGTCTCGTCGAATAGGGAGGAAGTGAGCTGACTTAGTCAATCGGTCCACTATGACCCACACTGCATCGTTTTTCTTATTCGAAAGGGGTAAACCTATCACGAAGTCCATCGTGATCCTTTCCCACTTCCACTCAGGAATGACTAGTGGGTGTAGCAACCCACTCGGCACCTGATGCTCTGCTTTGACCTGCTGACAAGTCAGGCACCTAGCTGTAAACTCTGAAATTTCTCGCTTCATCGTCAGCCACCAGTAAGTCTTCTTGAGGTCTTGGTACATCTTGTTGCTGCCAGGGTGCATGGTGTACACGGTTTCATGAGCTTCCCGTAGCAGCCGTTCCCTCACTTCACCGTTCGATACCACCAAGCGGTCCCTATAGAGCAACCCTCCACTGTCATTAATGGTGAAGTCTTATCTCTCCCCCTTAGAGATAAGCTCACGAGTCTTCGCACAAAACTTGTCCGCACTCTGGGCCGTACGGATTTCACTATCCAGCGTCGGCTGGAGTCGTGACTCAGCCATAGTCTTCCGACTCAAGGCATCAGCCACGACATTGGCCTTGCTTGGGTGATAGTCGATATAGCAATCGTAGTCCTTGATCAACTCCAACCATCTCCGTTGTCTCAGATTCAGCTCCTTCTGAGTTAGCAGGTACTTCAAGCTCTTGTGGTCCGTGTGGATGTAGGTAGTCTCACCAAATAGATAGTGCCGCCAAATCTTCAATGCGAAAACCACTGCTGCTAACTCCAAATCATGTGTAGGGTAGTTACCCTCGTGAGGTTTCAACTGTCGGGAGGCGTAGGCCACAACCTTGCCCTCCTGCATAAGAACACATCCAAGCCCACTGTGTGTTGCATCACTGAAAACTGTGTAATCCTTGCCAGGAACTGGCTGCACTAGCACTGGTGCCTCTGTCAGGCATTTCTTGAGTTTCTCAAAACTCTGTTGACATGCGTATGTCCACGCAAATTTCACCTCCTTCTTCAGTAGCTTATTTAACGGCGACGCTATGGATGAGAATCCCTCCACGAAGCGCCAGTAATACCCAGCTAAGCCGAGGAAGCTCCTCACTTCTCGCGCATTCCTCGGGGTCTTCCACTCCGTTATCGGCGATATTTTGCTAGGGTCCACCTTGATGCCCTCGTGGGAGATCACATGCCCAAGGAACGTGACCTCATCGAGCCAAAACTCACACTTTGACAGCTTGGCATACAGCTTGTGCTCCCTTAGCACACCAAGTACTGTCTCCAAGTGTTTCGCATGCTCCTCTGGTGTCCTAGCATACACCAAGATGTCGTCGATGAACACTACTACAAACTGGTCTAGGTAGGGACGAAAGACACTGTTCATTAAGTCCATGAAGATCGCTGGGGCATTCGTCAGCCCGAACGGCATCGCCGTGAACTCGTAGTGTCCATAGCACGTTCGAAAGGCTGTCTTCGGTATGTCTTCTTTCTTCATGGGAATCTGATGATAACCTGATAGAAGGTCTATCTTCGAGAACACTGTAGCTCCCTTGAGTTGGTCAAACAAGTCATCAATCCGCGGTAAAGGGTAGCGGTTCTTCACTGTAGCCTTATTCAACTGCCTGTATTCGATGCGCAACCTCATGGATCCGTCTTTCTTCCTGACGAAAAGGACTGGTGCTCCCCACAGGGACACACTCGGCCTGATGAATCCCTTGTCCAACAGCTCTTGCAATTGCGCCTTCAGCTCCTTCATCTCCGCAGGTGCCATGCGGTATGGTGTTGCAGAGATTGGCTCCGTTCCAGGAACCAAATCTATCGAGAACTCCACTTCCCTTGGCGGTGGCAAGCCAGGGAGATCGTCGGGGGTCTCCTTCCTAGTATCGTGCACGTGGCACAAGAATGCTTCGCACTTCTTCCAGATCAGCCGCTTTGCTTTCATATAAGACATAAATTCTGGAGGCTTGGGGAACAACTCCCCCTTAACATCAACCACGTCACCATCGTCAGTCTTCAGCCGTACAGTGCGCAAGCCACAGTCAATCATCGCTTGACGCTCGGTCAACCCATCCATACCAAGGATAATATCAAATTCCTTGTATGGTAGCTCGATCAGATTCACGGACAATCGGTGTCCTTGGGCCATCAACGGGCAATTGTGGTACAAGTGATGAAGCCGCATGCTATGCCCTAACGGATTAGATACTACCATAGGGTATTCCAGATCGCCCCTCTGGATATCAGATTTCTCAGGCATAGGAACACATATGTAAGACAACGTAGATTCTGGGTCAATTGATGCAAGCATAGGAGTGTCAAATAGTGAGAACATACCCAAGATGACGTCGCGGTTTACTTTGGTACGCCCCTGCATGGCATAGGTGTGTGCAGGCGTGCGCCCTTGCTGACGGTTCTGATCCCTCTAGCTCTGTGCTGGCCTCCATCCAGCTGTCTGTGTCTGCACCTCTACTACGGGGAAGGCACGTCTGGGATTAGTCGGGCAATCCTTGCGGAAGTGTCCTTCCTTCCCGCATCCCAAGCATAAGCCCTGCGTCAACCAACATTCACCAGGGTGGTTTCTTCCACAGAGATTGCACACCGGATGCCTGGAAGGCTTGCTTCGATTGCTCGCCGCCTGTGACTGAGCCGGCGCACACTTGGTCTTTTTGAAGTTTTGGGTACCCTTAGTACCTCCAAAGGATCTCTTCCTGCTCGGCGCCGCGCTGGTACTGGGTTGCTGGCTAGAAACTGTCCCTCCAGCACCCAAGCTTGCCTTCAGATCATCCACGGCTTTCTCCGCCTTCGCTATCAGATCATACGCCTCTGAGAAGTCAGTGGTGACCACGGTAGAAGCATAAGGTCGCACGTCAGGGCGCAACCTCTTCCTGAACTCTTCGATCCTGTCAGCAGGTGTGGACACCAATGTGGGTGCAAATTGAGCCAAGTGATCAAACTTCTGTCGTAGCTCGGCAAGGGTCATGTCTCCCTGTACTAGCTCCATGAATTATGACCACTTCTCCTCATGGAAACGAGCTGGGATGTATTCCTTCTTGAAAGGCCAGTCAAAATAGGCCCATGTCCAACGCTTTGGCGTCTGCGGCTCACTGTCTACACGTTTCCACCACTCGTATGCTCCCTTGCGGAGTAACTGAGATGCCAACCTTGGATGATCTGCAACTGGAACGTCCAAATCGTTAAGCACCCTTGCCACCTTCTCAATCCAATCGAGGGCCACTTGGGGTTTGGCCACCCTATCCCCAAGGAACTCCTCCGCTCCGTTATCCTTCAAAGTCTTGAAGGTGATGAGCCGCTGTGGCGGCTGAGGCTGCTGGAACATTGGCGCGTTGGCCATCTGTTGTAGGAACTGGGTCATGAAAGCAGGCATGACATTCTCGGGCGGATTCTTGAAATTCTAATTATCTCCCGCGTTCAGTGGCACGTTGGGCTGCCCGGCATTCAGCTGTGGCACGAAGCTCGATGCTTCTGTCTCGACATCGTTGTGGTCGTCACCCAGGTGCTGGGTGGTGTCATGAGCGTGCGTCGATGCGTTACTCATTCTAAATTTACACACATAAATCCCTAATCAGTCATTAGCACATAACAAACAAAGGCATAAACTTATTACCTTCCCGGGGCTGATGAGTCGTAAGAGATGTGGTGCAGCTTTGGAAACCCTCTATTTGTGATCCGAAGATCGGTTTTAAAACCATAGGCTCTGATACCAAAATGTAACACCCCAACCCGCATAACCCGAATACAAGGATCAGCAAATCGGGTTGCTACCAAATTGGTATTCAAACAAAATAATTTTCCAAACCAATTTAAAACCTTTAATTCAAAACCGTATTTAGTTATCCATCAGAGTAAATCAAAACGGTTGCGGGAGCTAAAGTCATAATCCAAAACACAACTTGGGAATCATGCCTGAAATAGTAATAAGTTATTTAAGTAATTAATAAGAGTTCAAAGTCGTCGAACACCGCCACGCACATCACAACCTCCTCATCGCCCTCCGGGATTGGTTCCAAGCTCATCATTTCCTAGATTACCTACGTGTAGCGAATAGGAAAAAAAAGGGCTACACGCTCAGCATTGAAGCTAAGTGAGAAACATCTAACATACAGTTATACCCATAGATGATCCCACTAGCCCATATCCTCATACGATATCATGCACACAACATGCTCACTTATTCATCATATCATAAAGTATATAACATATATACGCAGGCATGCCATCATACAATATTAAAGAGTACAGGATATAATAAAGAATGCTTTCCTCATTGTTTACTTTACTTTACTTTCCTTCTGGCTCGGCTCTTAACCTATACTAGGTAAAAGCTTACTGTATACGACTTGCCTATAGAAGTCATGACCTTCCCCTTCGGAACGAAGGTCAAGCTCAAACCAACTCGGGAGTTCCTCGTTGGGTGGGTGAGATCCCTGTCCCCTTCGGAACGACAGTTCTTAGATCACCGTGTACACGTTTTTACCCGGACAGCCTTTGGTCCCAGCAAGTACCACATGACTCTAAATTACTAACTTATGACATGTCTTGTCACTATATCCATTCAGTCAGATCCTAGGGTTTGTTCTAGGTATTTCATCCTTTAATCGTCATTAGTTTATAGCATACATGTTCATGCATCATACACATATTTCATCACATTCAATACACTCAATTAGCGGCCTAACGCTGGGTATTGCTACCCATGTTTACCGTCATGCAACACACAAACTCTTGGAATCAATCCTCGACGCAAACAACATAATGCGGACCGGTTCAGGTACCTCACAGTACCCCTTGGCGGTAGGGGTTACCGGCCCCACGGCACCAGGGTACCGTCCCCACAGTACGGGGGTACCGACCGAGTCAGCTGGGGTTCCTTCCGGTAGCTCGTCACGGTAGCCCCTACCGGTCCATATGGTACCTGGGTCCCATCCTAAGTAGGTACCGCCAGAGAGGAATGGAACTAGGGAGGCAGGCGGTAACCAGGTACCGTGTCAACGGTACCCCCCTACCGTCTATCGCGGCGAACACCAGACTTGCACCAGCTCCGTTTTCGTCCATCAAACAGCTTTAGTTCAGTAAATACTAGTATCACAGATCATAAACCATCAATCCAACCTTATCTAACCGTTCCCCAATGACAATATCCCAAAACAGGCTTTTCACATCATAACTACGCAAACAAGACATAATTCACGTATAGTCCACAAAGATCAACCGTAACGATTCTACGAACGTAAGATTCAAACCTACGGATACAACCATACGTTAGATGACCACGTACTCACCTCAAATTCGACGATTAACGATTACCGAGATAGTGTTAACAGCGTGGAGATGAATGGCGACTCCTTCTTCTTCCTTCTTCTTCTTCTTCTTTCTTCCTTCCTTTTTCCCCTGCTGTGTTCGTCCTTCTGCTTTGTTCCGTTCGGCGAGAGTGAGACACGAGAGAGAGACGTGAGAGAGTGGGGAGGAAGTTACATAAATATGGTGAGGCCTAGGTCTTGGGGCTTGTAGGGAGTGTATTTATACTTTTTGGGTTTTGGGCTCTGTATTAACCGAACGTACCTGGCCCAAACGCACTTTCCGAGCACACTAACTCCAAATCCAAGTCCAGTTTCACCGTTAGATTCGATCCGTCGAACCCTACACAACAGTATAATCTTTGTTGTCAAACGAAGAGTATATTCAACTTTCACCCAGTCCGTCTCAATAATCAATTAATTATTTCTAATTAATTAATTCTGATAGGCCGGGTTTTGGGGCGTTACATTGCTTTGTTGGGAGTCTGGTCTTTTCAGCTTTTTTGGCTTTGACTTTGGTTTCTTTTGTTTGTTTTTCCTTTCTGTTCTTTTTAGGATGCTTAGAGCATCATTTGGTTTATTTCTCCTTGTTTGTTTCTTTTTCTATTTCTCTTGTTCTTTCCTTTTGGGCTTGTCCCTTAATAAAATAATTTCTTTCAAATATATATATATAATTATATATATAATTATATATATATGTATATATGTATATATGTATATATGTGTGTGTGTGTATATATATATATATATATATATATATATATATATACATTGTTGGAGTTTTGCCCTGATGGCCAACTGTTTATCGTTATTCTATCATGTATAGGCAGATATAATATGTTTACACATCTCATGCTAATGTAAACAAATATTATATTCCTAGATTTATATTTAAAAGATGTTTATCAGATAGTGTTTTTTTTTTTGCTGATGAGACTAACATCTTGAAATAAATATTTATCTAAATGTCCATAGTCGAGTATTAACAAGAGTGGGATATCGTTAATGCATGTGAGACTAGTGTGTGTATACAAGAAGTTTAGTACATACGTTTCGACGAAACCATTTCCAGTTTTGGTTTCAAGAAGAACTCTGACGAATCTTGTGTATACAAGAAGGTCAGTGGGAGTGTAATAGTTTTCCTAATCTTATATGTCGATGACATATTGTTAATGGGTAACGATATTCCCGCTCTCACTTCTGTAAAGACGTGGTTGAGCGAGAACTTCTCCATGAAAGACTTAGGGGATGCTAGTTATGTCCTTGGCATAAGAATCTACCGAGATAGATCAAGAAAGTTAATAGGTCTAAATCAAAGTACATATATAGATAAAATCCTTGATCGATTTAGCATGTCTAACTCAAAGAAAGGATCTTTACCTATGACACCTGGCACGGTTCTTTCCAAGAGCCAGAGTCCTTCTACTCCCGAGCAAAAGGAACTCATGATGAAGGTTCCATACGCCTCTGCGATTGGATCCATCATGTACGCCATGATATGTACTAGACCTGATGTCTCATTTGCTTTAAGCGTGACCAGCATATACCAGGGAAGTCCAGGAGAAGCACACTGGACAGTGGTCAAGAACATCCTCAAGTATCTTCGCAATACTAAGGATGCATTCCTGGTATACGGTGGTGAGGAAGAGCTAAAGGTGGTCGGTTACACTGATGCTAGCTTCCAAACCGACAGAGACGATTCAAAATCACAAGCAGGATATTTGTTTTGCCTGAATGGTGGAGCTTTTAGTTGGAAGAGCT